GAATGCGGCATAACCCGCGACCCATGAATTCCACCGCGCTGTAGCCGATGGTGTACAGTCGCAAGAGTCAGTTTTCATCCGTGTAATTTGTGGAAATTGCGGTTTCCTATGAGCGCGAGGCGAACTGATAATGCACTACCGAACGTCAGCTCGGTGCCACACTTACATTCCTCGATAATATACATATACGCACACCTATATGCGCGCACGAGCGCGATAAACGTTGACTTTTTTTTTTGCCCCACATACCCACAAATTAGCCCGTCCGAAATCCAGTTATACATCATAGAAGCGAAAGAGAGACAATTTTTCGGTGGTTTTTTTTTTAAACTTCTCCGGTGATTTGCGAATTGTCGTTATTCGCGAACTGAGACGCCGTTACTTAATTTAATCCGACAGACACCGTAGTTTTTTCTTTTTTAATCAGCGTTTTAATTAGCAACGGAGCAAATATCATATTTTCGATCTTTTTATATTTTCTCTACCAGTGGTTTTTATTTTTTTTTTACACAAAAGTGTAAAAAGAAATTCTTTACTTTTTGTTTTTTAATAACGACGGACACATTACTGTCGATGATTTTACGAGCTTTCACGCGGAATTGATTAACATGATAGGATAACACAAGGAAGATTATTACGTGATATAGGATAAAGTCGTACAAGAGCCATATGGCCGGCACTACTCTTTGAAATGAGGAAAACCTGCAATGAGAACGACAATACGCGCGCGAAGATATCGAGCTAAAAAAATATTAGTCATTTGAAACAATAGTTTGCATTAATATAATATTGTCAATGACAATGTTATAAATGACAAAAGTTAAATTATTAAAAAGTTAATTATTTCCGCATGGAGAAAATAGTTTTGCTAAAATATTTAAAAGCTTGGGCCGATCTGAACATAGATCTGAAAATAATTATGTACAACTTTCAAATTATTTGCTATAATATAAAAAAATTTTTGCAATGTTATCATTAAGCGCTCTACAATATAGTCGTTTTGACGATTCAACAAAAAGCAACTAAAATATTTAAAAAATTTAACCGATTTGTCAGAATCATCAAAATAATTATGTAGACTTAAGCATAACAATTGAAAAATTTTTATAGCATATCGTAGCAAATAATTTGAAAGTTTTACAGAATTATTTTAATTCTCCGAGAAAATTATTTTCAGATTTCTATCTAGACAAATTTTTAAATACTTGAGCAAAACGTTCTTTCCGTGCAAACTTTTTCAAGCTTTGTATTATTTTACATAAATGATGATGTATACAAATAACATATAAAACTATTATTTATTATTAAAAGATTTACATAAGAAACTTTTTATTATAATTACACTTGAAAATTTACTAAAAAATTAATTTTTTTTATAAAATTTTTATTTATCAAGTTACATAATTTAAATTTAGTAAACGTGATGAAATAAAGAAGTATAATAAATATCAACTAATTATATGTTTGTGTGCAATGAACATTACATAAATATCTAATAAGAAAACTTAAAAAATTTCGGTTTTTATTTGGCATTTCCCTTTCTCCGATCTTTTTCTTCTTAGAAAGCTTTTCTTTCCAAATACGTAATTCCTGCTGCCTGGTAAGAATCAGTCGTATGCATTTTTACGATGTTGCAACAATATTTCTTCATGCCGGTGGAAAGTTTTCAACGGACGTTATATTCTATGTCATGCCGAAGGTATATTCCAAAGGGCATAATTTAAAGAAGTTTCTCGGGGTTGTCGCGAACCAGCGCAGCAGCCGAACGAAAATCCAGTTTGAATGTAAGAGTATGTAAATGATAGGAGCTGCCAGGAGAGAGAGTTCATTATAACCAGCATGGTGCGACCACAAAATTGTTCGCGGAAACTTTTGTGAATGGCAGTTAATTATAATTAATTCCGTATTGTCTACTCGACAGCTCGTGCTAATTCCTCGCCGCCGACGAATCGCACGCGAACGTGAACCACCGTGGAGTTTCAGTTAGCACCCACTCGTCGCAGACAAATTATTACGAATGTTCAATTAAATCGTGCGTTTTCAAACTAACTTCCGCGCGACAGTCTTTTCAAGCAAATTTTGTATTTTCTCGGCCATTGTGTCACACATTTGTCTAGGAACGTGAGGAATGCTCTATTTAACCTTTTCCCACATTCTCTTCCCGCATTCGGGAATTAACTCGCAATTTCGTTAGTTAAAAAGGGCCGATTTTTCGGCCGGAAATTAACCAACTATTCCCCACATATTTTAATTATGGAAAATAAACAGTGAAAAATTAAATACGGAATTCACTGAAAAAAAAAAATGTATGTTCCTTTCCGGCGCGTCGCACGAAATACACTCGATAAGATGACGTATTTTCTATTGATTTTAAATTAATCGCGATCACAATCACGACGTTCGGCGTAAATTTAATTCGACGGTCATGTAATGGAAATTGAATTGGTGATTAATTCAATCGTAGTATTACATCGTTAAAAGTACAATACAACTCGGTTCGATGCAAGTGCCCCGATGCTCTGTATCCGCAATTAGAACGATTTCGCGAGTTTAATTCCGCAGAATTAGGAGTGCGGAACTGGTTCTTCTCATCCGGGCAACTCTCGGAAATTTCAAGAGTTTATCCCGACGGAGCGAGAGTGGGATTACAGGAGAAAAAGGGGTAACAGAAAAGGATGGCCCGGCACGAAAGAAAAAGGAAAAAGAAAGATGAACTTTGTCTTTGGAATAGCTGAAACCTCCTATTCTTTCCCGGCGACGAGTTTCGGCAATAATTTTCAAAATTGAAAGAACACGGCGGCGGCTAATTCAGTGTACCGGACAAACTATATTGTTTGACATCGTTTCTATCTTTTACAAAAATCTCCTAGACTCTCGGTGCGTCATTTTTCTTTATCGTTTTAAAGCAGTCTCCTTAACTTGTAAATAGAAAAAGATGTAGGTTAGGTGGACGAATTTATTTATAAAATCTAGATTTACAATTATATTGAATGCAATATATTATTATATATAAAATACAATGTGTTGATACATATACAAGGAATATTACAAATCTTATTTTATATCACCAGATACCAGTTAATTAATACAATAATAAATAGTTAGTTGTATTATATGCAATACATTAAAAAATAATAACATCTGACAATCAAAGTTTTCTTACGTAAGAAATGAACGTTTCACGCTTCAGACTCGAGTGAAATTAATGTTTATCAGCACTCGACGTAACTGGTAATAATGTAGAATGGCAAATTAAACTTCAGCGCTGATATCTGCTTACGCGACGGCCGAAAAGATTTAGCCTTAATGGAAGTTGAGAGTATATCGTGAAACGGAAATGTGCGCCCTGTATAGGCCCACAACGAATCGCCGGGGTGGTGTGTGCGAAATAATAGGGTAATTGTTATGCTACGGCACGGTAGGCGGAGGATCTGAGCTCCGTGTCTTCGATAAGACACGGCTCTGGGCATACTTAACGAACTTAACTTTCCGCGATCCGTATGGGCATCTAGTTTCCGGTAGTATGATATACCAGATATAATGAGGAGAATGTAATAAAAGCGGCTGCCGCATCGGTTAGATAGGAATTGTCGTCTCCTACATGGCTTTACGTGGTATAAAACTGAAGAGACCATATAAAATGTGATCGCGTTCTTTTTTAGTCCAGATTTTGTTACGTCAATTCGAGTAAAAAATTGTGTCGTTGTGATAATATTATTAAAAATGCATCGCGTTCACTTTCATTTTTTTGGAATGAATGCGATTTTAGTTGATTTTGATTCCGTTCTTTTCTCAGTAAAGAGTAAAAAGTCGATAACTTTTTGTAAAGAAAAGTTATTGACTAATTTAAAAAAAAAAACCTTGAATTTTTTCAACATTTTTGAATATCTTGAGTCAATTGTTAAAAATTACTAAATAATGTTGACACATTTTTATCTTGTTCCGAATTCTTTGGTGGATTCAAGCCGTTAGTGTTTGTTAATTGGATGAATTTATTGTACGGGCATAATTTTTCGCAGCCAGGAATGATGACTTCTTCAATTTCTGTTGGAATACCTAAATGCTGTAACACCTGCAAAAAAAAACAATCAAATATTACTCTTACGTCAGTTAATTCGTTGATTGATCGAATGACAAATATTATTTGTATCGTCATGCATGCACAGATGAAAATGAAAAACTTACTTTCACATAATATTCGCTGTCTTTTTTATGTAATTCAATGATAATGCCGCTCGTAAACTCTGGAGTACGATTATTAAATATATTTAGAGCAAATTGCAACCCAACCACATTTATATCATGTCCAGAATAGAGATTAATCTTTCGATCCGTCAGTGTTCCAATGATTACTTCATTCATATCGTTAATTATTTTATTTAATAATACAGCTGTAAAAGAGCAAAGAGAAATATTGATTTCTTTAAAACCATGAGACATTCTTAAATGATAAATTAAATCTAATATGAACGAGTACTTTTTTATTAACTAAAATAAAATTAATTATTTTTAATTAATTATTTTTCAGTAATTAGAATTAATTCATTTCAATTCTTCAGGCTCAAAATTATCTATATTAGTTCAAGAATAATGATATAATTTGCATTGTTATTATTGAAAATAATTTGTTATATGCGTACTCTTAAAATCTCGCGATAAAAGTAAAATATTAACGACTCTTAATTATTCTTTTCTAATTTTAAAAATCATAACAAAAAAGCAAAACGAGAAACGATACTTAATCAAATGTTACTTATGGTTGAAATGTATAATATTTATCTATTACAGATTAACTTTTAATAATTAAATAATTTATAAATAACAATATTTATATGTTTTCTATTTAGACATGCCTCCATTTAAATAATTCAACTTTTCGTGACCAAGGACTTTTAAGAATAACAGAGCTCCATTCAACAGAGGGCCACCTGGAAATATTTTTTGTATGCACTCAGGTAACTTCAGGTAATTTTCCATATGCAATTGCGAATATATAGTATTATATAACGTATATAGTATTATGAGTGTGTTATTTTTTGTTTTGAGTGTGTTATTTTTGTTAAAAATATATCCCGTGCACTCTGTTATGGCCCTCGTATCAAGCTGTTTGATTTCCTCTTCTATTTCTGGACTATTTATCACCTCAAAGAACAGTTCCGTGAATAATCTATCAAAGAAAAATGCACATGTAAGATGCAAAACATTATTGCCAGGAAACAAGCTAAACACACAGCTAAACAAAAAATATAATGTAATGTAATATATATAATTATATATATATATATATATATATAATTTATTTGGTACAACTTAGAGTAGCTTCTTCAAATACAGTCTTTTGTAAAATATAAAATCAAGAGATTTGCTTACTTGGAATTTGAAAATAATAACAAAATATCATTATTCGAGCTATTAAATGTAAAATCTAGCGGCTGCCAATGAAGCATCGAATTCCACTCTTGAATTTTAACAGGCGGATAAAGCGCTGCGAGAACTAATTGTAAGGTCATCTTGCACCGAGTTATTTCCGTGCTATGTGCGTAAATGTTCGGCAAATAATATATATCTCCGAGAAATGCACGATATCTCTCTTTTAGCAGCAGCCCAAAGTCGTACGCTCTTTTCTTGCCGACCTTGAATATCGTTAATAAAAATATAGAGGAGTAAAAAGGAATCTCGCGCACGACCATACTGCTAATATCTCTCGCAAACTTGATAATAAAGAAGTAGTGTGTTTTCTACGCGAAAAAAACAAAGAAATAAGAAAAATGTCAATGTTCCCGCAGATGCATTTACTTGCGCAGTCGCATATTCGCTATGATACACTACGAAAAGTGTTGCGAAGAGCTGAAGATATAATGCACGCATTAATAATAATTTCTGTACGCAGACCGTCTCACTTCTCGCGCTTTAAAATTATATTTTAAATGTGAAAGTATATTTCTCTTATTCCTTAATATTAAGATATTTTATAATTTTTCAATCACAAATAATAAAATAAAAAGAGATTTCACAAATACTTCAAATACTTCAAATAATAAAATTATATTCTTGAAACAATTTCAAGCAGAGTTTGAATGGAATTTTAATTTAAGATTTATCAAATTATATAACGTTATGTATAAATATAAAAAAAAAATAGTCTTCTTTGACACTCGTTAAGAAAAAATTGGGACCCAAATTGGGAAAAGGATTTGCCATTAAAAAAGAATATGCAGCAAATATAGAACAAGTTAATTATTAAAGACTGCAAGCACACGATGCACACTATGTCATGAGATAATCTTAGCAGTACAGAGATTAACAAAATAGTATTATATATGTTGTAATATAAAAGTCAAATCTTACGTTAGTCAACTGTCCTTCGCCAATTGGATAGAAATTGTCATCTTTGTATGGATCATTTGGATACCTTTCATTCGACTCTGGTGTGCGATCACCGTGTCGGAATAGCTGAAAATTTCAAATTTTAATTGTATTAATCTTACACATATGCAAAAAGATCCTTTTGTGATTTTCATATCGTTACCATGCTGATTAACTGTAATGTCGAATGATCATCATTTTCAGAAGTTCTTGATATCGTTAAACAAAAACAAAATATTAACACGATGCCTAGGTAGATCTTCGCCATCTTCGAAACTAAACTAAATGAAAAATAAACTTAAATATGCGTTTGTCTACGATAAAAGAAGTTCTTCTGGTAATTACTTACATTATTCTAATAAGCTTGACAAATGCTGAAGTGACGATACCATAGACGTTGACTGATCGATCCTACGCTTGCTAACGTCGATCTTGAAATGTAATCATACATATTATGTAGCAGACATTATATTCAAGCTGTTTACTTTCCGTGTTTCTCACACAAACATCTACTATTTATCATTTTATATTTTCAGTTAAATTCTAAAATTGCTCTAAACATACGTATTCATCGTATATAGGGTAAAAAGTCAAATCAAATCTCAAAATACAAAGAGAAAATTCTTTTAAAAGAAATATGAATTTATTACTTAAAAACTAACATCTAGTAATGATCGAGAGATAAACCACGATTTCAAAATAAGCATACATGTGTGCCTGACGCAATTAGATAAAATGTTTATATCTTATAATACGTAGGAATCTTATAAAAAAATGAAAAAAAAATAAAATTTTATATAAAATTTATAAATAAATGTGTCTCTAAAAGTATGTACGAGCTTCAAAGTCAATGCAGCATTCTCATTTTTATATAAAGATCTCCAGAGATTTTGTTGTGTACTGTAATTACAAAATTTTTAATTAAAGTTAAATGTAATTTACATAATTATTAATTCTTGTAAAAGATAATAATGTACACGTGTAATTTTTCAATATTAGATTTTTAACTTAAAACTTTTGATGTGGGATTATTCTTTTGCTGTATGTACAGATTCTGTACAGTTTTTGTCAATATGTAATGTGTATAATAATAATATTCACTAATAAATTTACAACAAGTTAAACTCTTTATGAGTTAGACATCTATAAATATATTTATTTAATATTAGAAAAAAGCAAGATAGTGCTGTATAAAACAATGCGTTTTAATTTTTCGATATTGTGAGAGATTAAAAATATTGCAAATATTAAAATTATATGTGTCATACATTAAAATATTAGCAAAAGTGTGTATATTTTGTAGATTGCTCTACAATTTTTTCGGATTTTATCTGTGTAAAAACTGAGTACATCTCTCTGAACAGATAGAAAATTATTTAAACTTTAATAATTGCAATTCCTAACAATTCTGTTTGTTATATCAGTTTATTATCTTATTTTATATAAATGAATGCGTTACATCATTAGAAAGATATTAAATCATATAGATTTACTCACGATAATAAACTAATTTAATAATAGATCAACAGAATATGAACGATTGAAATGTTTAGATTTTGTTGAGATATTTATAGCAATATTATCTATGATGCTATATTACAGGAAGAATCGTATTACGATAAAAGAAATTTTATTGATTTTGAGATCCAACATTCGAACAACAATTCTGAGAAAGGAATTACGCGCGGATTAGATTTATTCAATGAAAGTGGAACGAATAATCATTTGCAAAACATAATTGTTGATTTAGATCAAATAACATATATATAACGAATTATGTACGTGATTTCTTTCACAAATATTTCAACAATTAGAAAAAAGGAAGAAAACGATCAAATTGTAAAATTTCTAAAGATATTTGAATTTTCTATAAATTAATATACTATAATATACATAATTATTGGAATAGAAAATTAGACTCACGTTATTAGTAGCGACAACTTTAATAGCGACAAATTATAATTGTGGTCACACTACCGGCAGCGGTAACGTAATATCGTTCTTCCGACAACTTTTTAAGCGTATAATGTCCGAAAGAGTAAAAAGAATCGAACTTAAATTCAATGAATTTAAAATATATCACCTCTCATTAGAAGAACTTACTGTGCAAGGAGTTTAAAAGCGAATGAGGAAAAGTATAAAGTAGTTTCGGACCGCACGATAGCTAACTTTTCTTCTAGTTTAATACTGATGAAGTACGCGAATGCCTGAATAAGGATATGAATACCGAATAAATGAATGAACGTGTCTCCAATCAGATTTCAAAATATATAAAAAGATAAATAATAAAATAAATAAAATATATAAAATGATAAATGAATAAACGATGATAAAATTATCAACAAATTTAAAATATCATCGATCCTTTTTATATAATAAGGTTGACTATTTTTAATTACAACCTTTTGATTAATAATATCTTAGACTATTCCATTTTTATTATTCATTTTGAGGACACTTCAATACTTCAGAGGAGGTAAATTTATAAATATCTTCTACTCGATTTTATCATTAACTTTATATTCTTGAAAAATCAATATGCTTTATTTATCCGATTATCTTAAGAATCCAAAAATCTTCATTCACTTACTTATTTTTACTTATTTATTATTTATTTAGTAAAGTATTTTTTGATTTTTACTTATTGATTTTTATTTATTTATTATTTATTTAGTAAAGTATGATTTTTGTGCAATATAAAATATTCAGATTCATATTAAAAATGACAAAGTATCTCACACATACGCATATTACGCCTAATTATTTTTGTAATTTCTTTAACTTAACTATTTAACTAATTATCTCATGTTTATTAATATCTCATATCATCTCATATTTATGTGTGTTATTTTTTTAAAGTAATAAACAGATGTTGTTAGATATTTTTAAAAACAATATAATGGAAATATATCCATAAAATATTATTGCTGTATATAATTTAATTATATTCTGCATCTTATTTGTTTATTATATTAAATTTTTATTTTTATAATATTCAAAATTTTAATAATCTATACAATAGTCTATGTGTTATAAAGTTATCTGATCCTTTATTATTATTAACAATGAGAAATAAAAAACATTTGAATTTTTTTAGTGTGATGTAACTGTTTGTGTAACGAATTGATCGCATTATCGCAATATCGCATTTTTACGAAGATACGAAGTTCTTAAGATATTGCAGATGGTCGACTGACTAAAAATGCTCATAAAGCCCATAAAAATGAAAAATACCGAGAAAAAAGATATTGTGTTACATTCGCATATAAGCGATTTGAAGAATATCGCTTTGGAATAAAATACAACTATACGAAAAGAAGGAAAGAATTTTGCAACAAAATTATTGTTATTATTCTCTGTTACTCAATGTAAAAATAACTAATGTTCATCATTATACTCAAATTTCAATAACCTTTATTTTATCAAAATTAATAGAAAAATAAGTGAATTTTAAAAATATTCACAAATATTCAAATCTGCCAAATCTACGATAATCTTGTCATTAAAGTGAAATAAATTATATCCATGTATCCATATATCCATGATAGAATTTAGCAAAAGGATATTGGATTATGGAAGCAAAATAAATCAATAAAATCTTTCTTTTTTCTTATGCCATTTAAAAGTCTCAGTTTTTACCTCAATATTCTAGAGGGAATTGTAAAAATTACAATGGGCCCAGAATTACGAGTATCAGTTCTTATCACTTTTCACTGTCTAATAGATGATATCTTTGACGACTCTATGCGCTATCAATTCATTATATATCGTTTCGCACATTACTATCTTATATCGCATAGATCTATTTCTATTTCCAGTTTATTTATGCACTTCTCTCCTTCCGTCCCGTACAATCTTCGTTCTTCTCCGCTTCGACGTGTCAAACTCTCAAATAGGTCGCTTTATCTCTGATAACCTCTATCTCAGTCGTATTTTTGAAAATTAATATTTTTTTTGTAATTTGTAATTAAAACAGAATTTTCAAGAATTTCCATCTTTATCATCCGTGACATTCTTCAAGTCACTTTGTCACAGACGTTCTCCAACTATTCTTGATGCTCTTAAGTTTTTATTAAAAAGAAAAACTAACTAAACGGAATCTTGCATAAAATTTCTGTCATTTATTGTGATTTAATTATATATCTCTCTGCACAGCATTATACGTATACATATCTTTTACACGAAAATGGATCCATGAAAATGGATTAGATTTCTAGATTAAGTTATTTTATTACTCGTAACTTGAGAGATTCCTTTTTGCGATAAAGTTATTTTGGTTTACTTTATAATTATTCTCATGCAATACATTGTATTGCTTTTGTATATTATTTTCGAGACGCGTTCTTATTCACGTTGCATCTCATTAATTATGGCATCGTTTGAACACATGTATGTACACAGCATTACGTTGGATCACATTGGTTGCGATCTAATCATTAAACAATATGTACTTTCAAATATTTTTCAAGAAAATTAAACGTGATATAATCTCCATTGATATTGCCAAAGCTTATCATCGCGATTACGACCATAAATCGCATATAATCCAAGGCATTATTTGATATAAGGAATGTACAAAATGTGACACACTACTTGTTACGACATATTATTATTGTTATTATACTGCATTATACCTCCTCAATCGCTTAAATTTGCAAACATGTTAATTAGCACGTGCTTTATACATGATACTTAATTTATTCCTCTTCGAGATAACCGAGAGGAACAATGGATAAGTAGTATAGGCCTTCAAAAATTCACCGAGTTCTATTACAATATCGTCTCCTTTCGCCAGTGTATATGAATATGATTCTATTCATATACATTCTATTCGTATATTCGCGTATTTTCTCAAGTATTTTCTCATTTTCTCACTTCGTGGACGGAATCTACGTCACATATACAAATAGTGGCTATTTCGGTATCATAGCTCCGCAATTTTCATTCCGACTCGCGAGAATATCCTAGTTTTCATACATTTCTATGAAGATCAAGCGTGACATCAAGTCGGAAGAAATAGAAAAAAAATGTCGGCTTATCAACTCTTTTACGCGCGGTGCACTACATAATTTCAATTAGCATTACGGTTTCTGCATGCGGACTTTTCATAATTTCCTTCGTTTTCATTTTACATTCGGAAAATAATATAAATATCCTAATTTGATATTTCCGCTATTGAAAGACAAAAATGTCTATCTATTTTCGTCTTTTGTTAGTTTTATTTAACATAGAATGCGCTCTCTCTAAAACCACTCTTTTATATAGAAAAAAAAATTTATCAATAACTGAAAAAGTTAAAAATCAAATACAGTGCTCAAAGTTACAAGAGATGTTTATAGACAATGATATTATCAAATGCAGACTGTATTTTTATTGCGCATAAAATAACTCGTCACAATATTAAATGACAGTTTTTATTTCAAGAGTACATGATTTTTTTATTATTATTATTTTATTATTATTAAGAAAAGTTATTAAAGATTAGCTAGATTCCTTGTTTTACTCGGCAGAAGAGGAATATTATTTTCTCGTAATTTTCTAGAATTGCACTGCAATTATAGTTCTTAAATAATAAATTAATCGAATTAAACTTCGCTTGAAATTAAGCAAGAAATAGAAGAATCTCGTCGTACATTTTCATTATCGTGGAATTTAATTCATGGGGAAAACAAAAAAAAAAAACAAAAAATCATTTATTTTCATCTAAATCCGTTAAAAATAGAGGAATCTCCTTGTTTTTACAAAGGCCACGTCGAGTCTAGGGATATTATTTGTCGCTAAGTAAGGAGTAATACATCACGGGAGAGAGTGCATCACGCCCAGCTCGTGGCTCGATGCAACTCGACGCGACGCAACGCAACGCGATACGATGCGAGGCGCCGGGGCATGGGCAGGGAAAGGGGGATATGACGACGCGGATCGAAGGTAAGTAATTAAAATGGAATCCGATCGCATCGTAACCGCCCGCAGAAGCAGGGGAAGGTGACTACGACGTGCGTAGAACATCCCCGGGTCGAAATGGGACTGCGATTACAATTCCAGAATGCTGCCGAACAGGTCGAAAACCGGTTATATCCGCGGGTCAACTGCCAGCGTGAGAGCTAGCCTCCCCTCTCCCCCTCCTCCCGTTTATTCCTCCGCATCTCCATCCGTTTGCTGGCATCGTACCCTACCTTACTCCAATATCCGTACCTACCCCTTTCTGCGATTTCTCCCTGTCCGGTTCTCTCTCTCTTTCTCTCTCTCTCTCTCTCTCTCTCTCTCTCTCTCTCTCTCTCTCTCTCTCTCTCTCTCCTCCCTCCTATCTCTCTTATTCCCCGTCGTCGGACTACGGCAATGGAATTCGAATTGTAATTTCTAACCGCGCGACTACGCACGAGCCATTACCTTGCCGTTCGAAATTCGTAAACGGATTGCGGATTCCCGGACTTCCACGCGGCTCGCACTAAGAATCCATCCCCATCCATCTGGGGTTTCCGTGCCGAATATGCGTGATACGTGCCGCCTGAGAATCGGGGCTTTTCCCGTTCGGGAACTTGCCTCCTGTCATATTTCTAGTTGTAGTATCGATACGGTATTTTCGTATTTGCGTCATTGCTCTCGTCGAAATGCATCTGCGGGTGCATCGTCGTGCTTGTGAATTGTTCCCAGTCGCGAAATTCACCCTCCATTGATGTGATGTAGCTATTTGCAAATCATCACGCTAATGGTTTCGCTATTACTTAATACCGTTTATTGTATATCATCACAATCGGAGCTACGAACTATAAGCTTGAATTCCAGTAATTGCATCAAAGATATTCGCTAAGATAACAAAAAAAGAGAAATTCTTTTATGATAATTCTTCTCTAATAATTGTTTAAATAATTTCCAACAATGTTTTTAATAATGTTTTTCTATAATTTGATATATTATTTACATATCAGAGAGAGAGAGAGAGAGAAAGAGAGCGAGAGAGAGAGAGAGAGAGAGAGAGAGAGAGAGAAAGATAACATATAATAATTAACATTAAAAATGTTTCAAACAGAAAACAGAATACTGAATTTATTTGTATAAATCATGTAAAATCATGTGTATCAATCAATCAAATCATGTGTATTATATATATATATATTTCTGTATGTGAAAAAATACAGAAATGTATATATAATAATAATAACATGTATACACAAACACACATGTATAAAAGTAACATTTATATCTATATCATTGACACACACAAGTCAAAGACTTTTAACAATCGTAGACTAGTCTCATCTTTGACATCGATTGTCGCACGCTATGAGAAAAGACAACTACGAAGTGAAGAGTAGAAAAAGCAATAGACAGACGGATCTCAATAGACAGATCTTCTACGAAACAATACACATTTCTGCCTTTCTTCTCGTATATCCTTCCCATCCTTCGTATTTTCAGAAGTGCATCCGCGTAAGATACATTAAACGTCTCCGTTCTTCACACACACACACGTATTGCCTCTATTGTCATTTGAAATGTCTTGTTAGATATTATCATTTCCTGTTTTTATACATTTTTTTATATGAAAACTTATTATCCTTCTTTTAATATTTGGATATTTTTTTTTTATAATCTTATCTAGAACTCTTATACACGTCATAGTTTTCTATCATACTTCACTTGAAAATCCCGCATGCTCAACTTCCGTTTGAATTTTTAGAAAAACTCACGATCACAATTTCGTGTTCATTGGGTGATGGCTTTTTACATATTGAACAACATATTGAACAAAGCGATAGCAATTTTACCTATTGATCATATTCTGATAATCTTTAATTTTTCATAATTTAACAGTAGTACTTATTTTATTTGTCATCTCATTGAAGATAATAGAAACCTAAATCGAAACGTTTGAGTTTATACATATATTTATTTTTATAATAAAAAATAAACACAAATCCAACTTGGCTTATTAGTTTATTCTTAATTTTTTATTTTTAATATACATCTATTTATATTGTATAACTCTCATTTTAGATATAATAATTTATAATACCCAATGAAAATTTATTTCTAATTACATATGTATTTCTCTTAATACAGGATACGTTTGAGAAATTAAAATACGCGTAACATTTTGAATCATTATATTTGATAATTATATGGAAAAAAATTAGTAATTAATTTCAAAATAATTTTCATTATGATTTTATATAAATAAGTTCAATATTCTGCTTTTTCTGTTTGAAATATTTTTTAATGCTAATTATTATACGTATATATGTTCTCTCTCTTCCTCTCTCTTTCGCTGATATGTAAATAATATATATGGAAAAAATTATTAAACTAACAACTTTTGTTAAAATTTTATAACATATCTGTTATATTACATTATAGCGAACATCAAAAAGAAATTATTATCTCTCGTTTTTTTATTAGCTGCACAACATTTAAAAACTATTCCGCTTTAATTAGTGCACTCTTGCTCACTTAGCGGTGATTGCTACATCATTACGAATAACTTGTTCGTTGTCTCGGAAAATAAATGTAGACTAGTCGTGTGGAATGGCGCGCTAACTTTTTCTGATATCAAATATAGGAGAGTATATGAAACTTTCGGTCGTCTACAATAAAGACATTTTCTTCCCTTCTCTCTACTATAATCGAGATAACGAATCCTCGCTGAGGGAGCACGATTATATCGATCATTTCATCGTACGTGACATGCAGTAACTTCGTGTCTTGTGCTTTTCTGTTCCTTCACCCATTGGTTTTTATCAGAAAAATCTACTGCTCATCCATCTTTGAGATTAATTAACAAAACCAAGTTTTGTGCGGATATAATTTTTGATCTCTTCTCAATAATATATAAAACAGATGAAATATCGAATCCTTTTTTCTCTTAGATATTTCACTTTTTAATTAATATAATTATTGTAGATGTGGTGGAAATTTTATTATGTTACAGTATGATACAGTACATTTTATAAAAATTCAATTTTTAACCTGAGTTTACTGATAGCAAGACACGGTTTCATGGAAAATTAATTAAAATTTGTCGGGTTAACTTATACTTATTCACTTCATGATACGACGGGTACTTTCCGACAATTCTCTCGAGGGGAAAAGAACACCCTGACAATGCGGCTGAACGAAAGAGAAGCAGGCCGTTGGGGGAAAGAGAAGTTTGAATGAATGGTCGACGAAAATGCCTGGCAAGGCAACCGCTCGCCATAGACCGTACCTATTATGAAGTAACGTAAAAGAGACCAAAGAGAGAGAGAGAGAGAGAGAGAGAGAGAGAGAGAGAACACGAGAGAAAAACAGAGTGCGAGTCGAAAGTGAATTTAATTCATAATTTGTTGCAGTGCCTACTTACCGGCAACTCAGCTCATCAAGATTTTAGGAAGTCTTACTCTTTTTCCTTCCTTCGACAAACTCGTTCTCTGAATATTTTATAGGCTTTCGCAATGTATTAACAAATAATGTAACAATAATTGACATAACTGGTTTGCAAGACAATTACGTACGTATGTAACAACAATGTCGTCCGCATAATAATTTTCGTTAATGTAATCGATGAAGATAAAATCTTAGCGTAATTTTTAAACAGCATAATAATCTGTCAAATATTAAGTTTTTTCTTCATTCTTGACTAGAATTCCAATTAAGAATGACGAAAAAAATAACATTTGACATTTGACAGGTCACGTATACGATAATTATTGAAAAAAAATCAAAACTACGTTCTGACAATGATACACGAAGCTTTCACATTAAAAATTAAAATTATTTGTACTTGAATCGATACTCTCTTTACGTTATATTCGATTCGAATAATCACGACGGAATGATTGTTTGATGATAAAAAGAGAACGATGACAAACGATGGCGCGTGGTGGCAAGGATTCCTTCGGGACGAAAGCCGAACGAAACGAGCCGATTAAGCGTCGTCTAAACTTCACCCCACCCCCAAATCTCGGACGGAATAGCATGATTTTAATTAGCGAGCCGCCGAGCGAGCTTACGGGGCTTATAAACTGATAGTAACTTGTCAGCGAAGGGAACGCCATGTTACGCGTAAAATGATTCCGCAAGCCGTCCTAAGGCCGCACGCGAAATTAATCCCCCGGTTAGTATGCCGACCGGCGAGTCGCGGCTTGTTACAACATTCGTGACAATAAATGGCGAAATATTGCGCAAAGGTTGACACATTCCCTATGCCCCCGATCCCATCGTCTTCCACCCCCGAGCCCCGAGCCCCGAGCCCCGAGCCCCGAGTCGAGGGTGGCTGTGTATCCGCTATCTTCGCCTCTACCGACGTATCCGACCGTTGTTGAACTTTCGTACCATCCCTCTTACAGCCGCCGCATAAACACATAGTCGGCCTGATTTAATCCGTCGATGGTAGATAGCGTCTCACTTCGCGGATTCACGCGACTCCACCACGCGACCCGAATGTTACGAGAGCGAATACCTTTTCCTCGACACCTCTCTCCCGCCGGATGTGCCCCTCCTCATCCCTCGGCCCCTCTATTTAGCTTACCCATGGTGTAAACAGAATCATGCGTCGGGGGATGAAACGTTTGCGGAGTTTCCCGTAATCCGCTGCATTTCAATCTGCGGTGGAGCTGGGCGCTCAATCAGAATAGGAAAGTAAAATTCTAACGAATAAATTATTAAATTTCAATCGTTCGTTTAATAACGAACGAATCGATCGATTTTTAAGAATGATAATTATCTTTCGTTTCCGTTTCAGAAACTGTAAACATTGGACTTTAGCCTTTTGTTTTCTCATCAAGATAGTAAACAAATTTGTTTACCTTTCATTTCTCTTGTGTCTTATATTAGACACAAAAATAAATTGAAAATGATACAAGATTTTATCGTTTAGAAATCGAAGAAAGATGAGGAAGAAGGGGACGTGATTGGATGTGAAGACAATCGCGATTCGTAGAGTTCTTACGTAACCCTTCTTTTTATTACATATGTCGAGCATATTCATAAGAATGTCTCGCTTCTTTTAGTTTTCTTGTAAATAACAACATTCAAATCAACGTCGCAAAGCATAAATGTTATAATAATATATATTATATAACATATATATATATATATATTTATATATGTATACCCAATATAGTCCCCCGTAATTCGTATATTTATATTTATATATTTGTATTTTCATATTTATAATTTGCGTTATGTATACATATATACCTTCGCGTTTAATACATCTCGTCACGCACTTATGACGCTAAGATGGCGAATTTCTCCTCTTTTCTTCACGTCGATCCGCGTCACTTTGGAGGCTACGGTCAAAATATCTCTCGCTAAGATTTATCCTTCTTGCGCGTTTCTTCGCGCGCGCGAGAAACGACGGCGAGTACGAAAGAACTGAAAAGCGGAAATTCGCGAAAATGGAAAAAGAAACGGATTAATGACGCCGGTGTACGGTGTGACACGCCGTACACTGTCATCGCTGGCTGCGAAGCTTACTCTACGTGCAATTCTTATCACTGGTGTACTTCTATTTACAGGGTTCGCCAATGACGAGTCAACGTTCGAGCATCCTTAGACCGAGAATTATCGAATAATCCGCGTCACCATTTTCCCTTAGCTCCTCACAAATCTCACTAAATCGTTTGATTGTAGCAGAAGTTTAGAGATAATTTTTCGAAATTACTATTTTCTTACCTTTGAATCTATCGCTTCTCAATTTCATTAATTCTATAAGTAACGAATAAGTTCACGAGTCTGATATAGATATTTTTTATTCTTATCGTTTTTTTACTTTGAGATTTAGTCTCTATCATTTTCCAATTTCACGAGTGATTTCTAGTGATTTGTAGATCTGATAGCGATTTCTCTATTTTTAAATTTACGATGCTTGAGGTTTAAAAAAATTAAAAAAAAAAATCTATCACGACTATGGCGCTAACGGAAAATGGCACTACGCACGAGTGTCACAGACAAGAGGTCACTGTCGTTTTATATGCAATCACATACACACGTACACACACACACACACACACACACACACACACACACACACACACACACACACACACACACACACACACACACACACACACGTACGTACACACATGCAACGTGGACTCTACTTGCATTATGAGCAGTGATCTGTTCTCGATAGATAATATCTTCAAATTTTTTCAGGCACGACTGAAGCAATGCAATTTTACTTAATTTTAAATTTTAGTAGGAAAACTTTTCAAGATATTGAGACAAGACATTAGATTCTTTTGAATCTTTTTGCATAGACTGTAAAGTATCGCACGCTTGCGTCAACTAATCAAATTTATCAACAAAATTTTATAAAATTTATCAAATTCATTTACAAAATTTTTAAACATTTCGGTCGTGCCTATTAAGTTAAGAAATAAAAAAAAATCATTGCGCCACAATAGCAGATGAGTTTAGTTATCTTGCATTCGCAAAAAGATGCAAAACGTTTTCGTATTCGTTTCACTTCCGCAGGGTTGTATAAAAGTGACAAATAAAACTTTATACGATTAGGTTGAATCATTCTATGGTAGAAAACATTAGTAACAGTCAATAACAATATTACGAAAAATTTTGAACACTTACACATCATTTTGATACTGAGTATCAGTATTGGTCGAAAAATTTATTTAAACATTAATATCGTCGAAACTAATCTATATGTTGCTCTGCAACATATGATGCTGTGAATCGCTTCTTTATAATCTCTCTTTTACAATTTTTTTCTCGTTAAACAGAAAGTTTTATCTCTAGAAGACTGTCTTTTAATTAGAAATATCGATGGATCGTTCGTGCGTAAATTCGAAATATGCTTTGGCGAACAGGTTGGGAAACGATTGTTCATCGCGTTGACCAGATCGGGAATTTGAATTCGTCGCGACTAATCTCCACGACTACAAAGGCGCGTGATCCCCTCATGTTAAATGCTTATGACTTTTAAGATCGCTAGTCTCGCGAATGATACGATTACAGACCTCATCAGAGTAAGTCTACGTAATCCCTAAGTCGACTCGTTTCCCTTCTTTAATCCACGGCGAGCATTAACTCCTTTGCGCGCCGAGTGCAGGGACTCTCTCTCGAACCTGTTGCTTTAAACAAGATGTACGCTGAATAATGGATATTCCTAAGTAGTTAGAAGTCCGCTTAAAACCGGTACGGCCGCCTCTCTCGCGACCGCCTACGAATAAATCCCAATTTGATCAATTAACGCGTAAACAGATCGATCGTATGTGTCGCGGCGCGAACGGCGTGAAACGGACTCGATATTTTCAGCAAATATGTAATCTACTTTGCATTTATTCCCCGCTCGATTCTGTCAAGTACATTTCCAGTCGGAAAATGTTTGATGCCGATTCATGAATCTAATTACGAAATAAATGTGCGTTGTCGATATTTCGCTATACGCATAACTTCAACGTATGCACGTCGTATGCATAAAAACGTAGTGCTCAATGTCTTAAAGCACTTATCGCGTCCTGTTTGCTTAACGTTTTATTGTTAACGAGGTCAAAGATAATGAGCATTGGCAAGACAAATGTTTTAAGATATCCATAAAATTTTTTCATCATTACAATCATTTGGCTTTAGCTTGGAATTGTGACATCAGAAGCAAAAAAAGATATAACTTATGCATACGTGAAAATAAATTGTTTTCCTTGTGCATCATACGGACGAGTATTATTAGGAAATGTAGATAATAAAATATGAGAATTCCCTTTTGTGCAGTTGCATTAATAAATAAATATATAATTTCATCTACATGTAGATGAATCCTACATTTTCACTGAAAATGTATTTTGTAACAGTCTATCGAGATTTAGACTTTACTATTTATTAATTCACAGACCGCAAAAATGGTATTTTCGGCGTATCCCATATATACTTTCTATTGAAGACGAGCCTTCGCGTGCAAAAGAACTAATTTATCTCAAAGTACAACATCAAGGAGAAAATAAAATTAAGTTAGTTTTGGTCCTACGTGGTTGATGCGAATAATGAAATAAGAGGAAGAGACGTGTGTCTGTATGTAACGTGAAAGGAAAATAGCGACACTCTCCAAACACTGGCGCAACACCGTCGAATTGATTCGGAAGCGTTTGCAAACTAATAGTATTCAACTTCCCGTTACGATATATCCCCGTTTCTTTCCTTGCCGCAAATTTTCCATTTTCTTCTTTCGTCTCCGCTGTCCGTACTTTCTTCGACTGCCTCTTCAGATGAGAACAACTTCTCCGTACCGAATCTGACATTTTAATCTCAAGTATCCAGATGGGATCCATGATTTCGTACGTAAGGGGGTAAGGATAGAAACGAGGCGCGGGGGGATGGGGGGGGAAGGGGATGAATTTAAAATGTTGGTAGAACAGAGAAGTTCGTCGCGGAGGAAATGGAATCGATACCGGAGATAAAATACGCACTTTTTCTCGCACTTATGCATTCAAATTGGAAAGAAAAAAAAGAGAGAGGGGGGGGGGAATTGCCGATGTTTAAAGAATACACGCAATTGAAACTGAGTCGTGTCTACGTACGTGGATAGGTAGAACTTGATTTCGACGTCGGATTATTACCGTCGGAAAATTAATCTTGCTCGAAGCGCGCGCAACTCAACACCTGAATTAATCAACACCTTCGATTTCTCTTCAAAGATACCGTGACGAATTTTCGAAATTCGTTCCCGCGAAATTGTTGATAAAATTGAGATCGAGCCTCACGCATCGATCGCACGAACGAAAGAAGAAAACTACTACTCGGGGGGGAAGACGTAAGTTTTAAAAATATTGGAAAACTAGTTGGCTCGGTCAAACTTTAATTCAGTATTAAGCTCGAACGATTTCATTTTGATATTCCGGAAATAGCCAGTTAGTCACGCAGCTAAAATGCTCCCGTAATGTAGTTGAAAAACGTAACGACTCACTCTCTCACACAGCGTTCTAGATTGCACTCTCGCGGAGTCGAGATCACTTGGTTGTATTTTGGTTGTGACGTCATTGTTACAGCGTTATACAATATATTACACAGAAAGCGATAGTCGTTGCACTTTGTTTAATACCCTTTTCTTCCCTCATTGTTCCACCGCACGATGGATAACCGGCGAAGATTCGCTGCTTGTTTTAATTCTTGGCCACTGGACTGTCGTCGCTACACTAACTTGGCACGCGTAAATTACTCCGTCATTTAATACGGATGCTAATTACTCCAGTCAGTCTTTGTGTCATTTCTGTATATATGCGCGTGTACGTGTACGTGTGTTGTATGTACGACTGTTATCTTTTTATATCGTTTGATACTTCTAATTCTTTTTTCTTTTCTGCTTTCCTTTTAATTGAGTCCGTTAATTAGGCAGACCAACACCGTTGGCGTATCAACGACGAGGTAGCGTCGTTCGATTTTCATCTCTTTTCATTTCTCTTGCTTATCGAATTATCGTTACGGCCAGAGCAATTAATAATAACGTCACGGTCGTCATCACGCCTGTTGCTGAATCTGAAATTAGATAAGATATTTCATTATTTAAGATCGAGATGCCGGAAATAAAAATCTTTTGCAGAAGCTACATTTTTGAGTTTAAATAAATCTTTATATTTATACTGGCTGATGATTCGCTTATAGATATTAATGTCTTTGCTCCGTTTCTTCGAAACAAATGTCGCCCAAATGTCTAGATTTAATAATAATTGACCGTATAAATAATTTGATTAAACTGATCGTACCGAATAATTTTTAATTTTTCCAAATAGTTCAAATATATATTCCAAGTTCAACTATTCAAAATATATTTTCTTTAGAGTTACGCCAATATATTGCACCGAATTTTAATATCACGATGTCTTGTGATGCCACGAGACAAAAAAAGAAGGGTTCTCTCGCCATCGGTAGCCTCGAAAGGTCAATGCACAATCAAGGAGCTTGGAACGACGAGAATCTGTCGTTACCCCGTTGCAGGGAGTTTGTTACGGAAAAATCCCTCTCTCTTCCGAGGGTGGATACCGAGGAAACGGAGACGGGATGGGTGCAAAGGAGTGAGTGCCGATGAGTCGACGGGCCAAGCGAAGTAGATCTAGAAGAGAGAAATAAGGACAGATGGGGAGAAGAGGAGAAGAGAGAAAGGGGAAGAGAGAAAAAGACAGAAAAAGTAGAGAAAAAATGGGAAGTCAGTTATT